AAGCCCGCCAGCCGCAGCATTCTCAAGCCCGCCGGCTGCTCCTGAGTCAAGGCTACCAGCCCCAGAGCCCGCTCCAGTGTCGGCTCCAGCCCCAGAGCCCGCTCCAGTGTCGGCTCCAGCCCCAGAGCCCGCTCCAGTGTCGGCTCCAGCCCCAGAGCCCGCTCCAGTGTCGGCTCCAGCCCCAGAGCCCGCTCCAGTGTCGGCTCCTCAAAAGCGACTTACTGTGCCTGCTCCTACAAAGCTCTCTCCAGTGCCAGCACCTCGTAAGCGCTTCCCAGATCCCCAATTAAGCCCAGGGAGGGCTCCTGATCCCCCGTTAAGCCCAGGGAGGGCTCCTGATTCCCCGTTTAGCCCCGGACAGGCTCCAGATCCCCAGTTGAGCCCAGTGAGGGCTCCAGATCCCCCGTTGAGCCCAAGGAGGGTTCCTGATCCCCCCATTAAGCCCAGGAAGGGCTTCCTGAACTGCCTGCACCGCCATGGCCTCCCCAGTCTCCGAATCCGCCATGGCCTCCCGAGCTCCCTGCACCGCCATGGCCTCCCGAGCTGCCTACACCGCCATGGCCTCCCGAGCTCCCTGCTCCCCCATGGCCTCCCGAACTGCCAGATCTGCCATGGGTCCCGGAACGGGCTCTGCCCTGGAGGCCTTCCGTCTGGTAACCCTGCTCCTGGAGGCCTCCAGAGCTCCCCTCCCCTCCCCGTTGGATGTTGTACGGCGCGGCACGCGCCTTCTGGGAGGGGGGAGTTATGTCAGACTCTGTCTCGTGTTTTGTTGTGTGCTCAGTTCTCCCTCGTGTTTCCTTATGCCCATATTTGGTTCTGTTTCCTGTTCTCGTTGTCTTATTAGTTGATTCCCCGCACCTGTCTGTCCCTCGTTAAGTTCAGTATAAATGTGTAGTCTGCCTCATGTTTTCTTGTCGAGTCTTAAACGTCACCCCATGTGTGTACTCCTGCGCTCCCTATGTTATGTTCCTCTCCTTTGGTTTGTTTAATTAAAGTCAAGTTGTGTAGTCATCTCCTCGTTTCCCTCTGATGCACCGTGACGAATATAGTTTCATCTTGAAAAATTACTGCTGAACTTTCAAAAAATCTCATTCACCACAGAAATTTTCAGTTAAAATGTAATGGTGATAAATTTAACTTGCTAATGGGTGAAAAAAAATTATAAAATTAATGTTAAATATAATTAATGTTTTATTTGTTTAAAATGACTTTATGAATATATAATAAAAATGGTAACGCTTTAGAATAGGGAATACATATTCCCTCAATAAACTCCTAATTTGCTGCTTATTAATAGGTAGTAAGGTAGTTCTTAAGATTTAAGGACCTAAAATATGGTCATGCAGAAAACTGCATTAATATGTGCTTTATAGATACTAATAAACGGCCAATATGCTAATAATGTGTGCTAATAAGCAACTAGTTAATAGTGAGACTTGGACCTTAAAATAGTTACCATAAATATATATAATAAATAGTTGATGTATAATAAATATATCAAATAAATTATAAATAATGTAAAATAAAGTTTATCATCCTGTAAATTATATTAGGGCAAAGTCATGGGGACACAAATGAAATATTATTTTAGTAATATTTTTATAATATTTCATATGTATTTTCATATTTCATATGCATTTTTTATTATGTAATATTATTAATTAATATTTCTATTTAGCGTTAATTTATATTAATTTCAGTTGTAGTAAATTTAGTACTTTGACTCATATTTCATATGTATATATATTAGTGCTGTCAAACAATTAATCACGATTAATTGCACTCAAAATAAAAGATTTTGTTCACATAATATAGGTGTGTGTACCGTGTATATTTATTATGTATATATAAATACACATACATGCATGTATATATTTCAGAAAAATATGCTGTTTATATATTAAATATATTTATATATAATATAAATTATATGAATATAAATATATCTATGTAAATACATGTAAATATTTTCAAAATATATACTGTATGTGTGTGTATTTATATATACATAATAAATATACACAGTACACAAACATATATTATGTAAACAAAAACTTTTATTTCGGATGCGATTAATCGCGATTAATCGTTTGACAGCACTAATATATATATATACAGTATATATAACAGCTTCATTTCAATTATTAATTTTTTTAATAGTTTTAGATTTAGTGAGCAATAACAGTGAAATGAAACCATTTTAAACTGATCCAAATGCACTTGCTTTTGTATTTTCTGTATAATCTACATTAATAATGCATCTTTTTTTTCATCTGCAGTACTCTATTTGTAAAGAACCTCTGATAGAGCTGTCAAACCCCGGAGCGAGTAGTTCATGGTTTTACTTAACCAGTGATGATGAGTTTATCATAAAGACCGTGCAGAACAAAGAAGCTGAATTTCTGCAGAAGCTGCTTCCAGGTTACTACATGGTGAGCCACACACTCACCACAATAATAAGGAAGAAACTACACTAGGCACTGCTATCTCAGCTCAGTTGCTCATATTGACAGTTAATTTATTAATGCAGAAAACAACTACAGATAATCATTTTACAGCACAATTACCTCACAGTTGTTTTATAGCCCTGTTTGCTGTAGAAATACAGGACTACACTACACATTAAAACACATTAAATATTCGGCCTGTCAGTTTAAAATGTTAATAAATTCTTTTTTTTTGAAAAAGCATAAAAAAATTATGCATTTAACTTTGACTCCACTATTTTCTGACAATTTTACATTAAATGTACAGTATTTTTTACACCAGTAAGCTCTTCTAATATTCTTTTATAGATTAAAAACTGATCTGTCCTTCCTGATTTCAGAATCTGAATCAGAACCCGAGGACCCTCTTACCGAAGTTTTACGGGCTGTACTGTATTCAGTGTGGTGGTGTTAATATCCGATTGGTGGTGATGAACAACATTCTGCCTCGCTCTTTGAAAATGCACTACAAATATGACTTAAAGGGCTCTACTTACAAACGCAGAGCGTCACGGAAGGAGTGCACCAAACCCTCCCCGACCTTTAAAGACCTGGACTTCCAGGAGATGCACGAAGGTCTTTACTTTGATGCAGACACATACAGCGCCTTAATGAAGACTCTTCAGAGAGACTGTCGGGTGAGTCGAGTTGTTGATCGCCGAAGAGCTCTTCAGTATTATATGTGGTTGTGATTTCCATTCACTTTGTTCCACAGGTGCTGGAAAGCTTTAAAATCATGGACTACAGTTTGCTGCTGGGCATCCATGTTCTGGACAGGAAGCTGAGGGGGAGAGGCGGGATAGGGGACAGTAAGCGCCAGGGTGGGCAGAAGGTCCTGTACTCCACAGCCCGCGAGTCCATTCAAGGAGACGGCAAAGCAGGCGAGCCTCCTCCTGACGCCGATGACGACACGTGAGTGGAGCTGCTCCGTTTGCAGAGTAAACAGAAATTAAAGACAAAGAAGTTGTTTTGTAAACTTTTACCACACGCCCTTTCTCAAAGACATGTCAGCCAATCTGAATATTTACTGTATATGTACATTACTGTTCAAATGTTTGGGGTCAGAAATATGTTTTGAAAGAAGTTAATATTTTTATTAAGTAAGGATGCATTAAATAGATTGAAAGTGGCTGTTATCATTTAGGAGTGGGAGATATACCGGTAGACACGATTAACCGGTAGAAATTTTGGATTTTCTATCGCGGTTACATGCTCACATGATGTTGCTGTGCTGCATGCTCATGAAAACTTATCGTTTGCATGCGTTTTTAAGCATTGCAGATTAAAAACAAGTGATTTTAAGCTGTTGAAATGCAATCAGCAGCAAAAGAGAACTCATTTGGCTATATTGCTGTCTGAGAGACTGTTTCTGAGTGCTGTCAGAGAGGTGCACACACGTGAAGACGCAAGACGGTGATCAAAGAGTTATTTTAAAGTCCTTGAATGGTTAACTACACACACTTGTATGTGTCAAAATGCCCATCTTTGCAAGTATCCTCATAAACACAGTAATTTAGGTCTTAAGTGAAAGCAAACAGCTGAGAAAGAAAACATGTGTAACAGTATACTGGATCCGGGCAGCTCTTAAAGTGACAGCAGTCTAATATTCCTGCTGTCTGTCATTCATGTTAA